ATTGATTCACATAAGACCATTTCCAATCAGCGCCCTGTTTTGTCAGAAAGAATGCTCAAAAACCATGTCTACAAAATTGAAAAATGTTTAGTCAATGACGTGGTATCGTGTATGATCTAGTTATCACATATATCACATTTCCAGGAAAGTCATTTTCTGTTTTGGGGAACATGAAGTTGTTAATGCTGTGAATAAGGATATTATGTATAAGGAAATTTTACAGTTTGGGCGACGGTAACTTTTTAGTGATATCGTTACACTATTACTTCCTAATGATAAGTTGAAATTGGCCACATAACAGGGCTGGAGTATTTGCCGTCATTTTCGATCCTATGTAAAAAGGTAATATAGAAACGATTTTGGGGGTAATTAAATTGTCATTTTGCTTTTATAAAATTTATCGTATTGGTCAACAGGTTACAAGAAAGTTAAGGGTAAAGGTACATGTAATGATATTTTCGGTTATAATGGCTAAACTAAGAACCTAATAGTATAAAACACAACTACGTTTTGTAGAAAATAAAATTTGGTACAAAAAATTAATTAAAAATATTAGATGTATACTGACACGTGCGCAACGTGCGTACAGCGCTGAGTATGCCGCGCGACAATTTCGTATGAATTTTTGACTTTTGCTCCATATACTTGAAGAATCATTTTATTTTCTACATAAAAGAATAAGAATCTTTTAAATACTTGTTAGCTTAGCCTTTTTAAGCGAAGATGTCATTATATTTAAATTTACCCTTAAATTTTCTTTACTGTTTTATAAAAGAAAATTGATGAATTCAATTCGCTACAAACGTGTTTTTTTAAAATGTCAGAAAATACTCCAGCGCTATCATGACGCCAATTGGAACTTATCATTCTTGTCATCAAATTGTAGGAAAAAAGTATATATTTCCTAACCAACACCTCACTTTCAAAAACCCACAAAAAATAATTAATAACAATAATAATAATAATAATATAATAATAATAATAATTTATTCATCCTGTGGATCACAAAGTGATATAGGATAAGTCAATTGAATATTTGTATAAATAACATTCAAAACATCAAATAAAAACACGAAGTGTATAAACATGAAAACAAATTAAAATACAAATGGACAAATTAAAATTGAACAATACATTAAAACAATTAAAAAAGACTATCACTCATTAAATACTCTTCTATAGAGTAGAAAGCTTTATCAAGTAAAATTTGCCTGATTCTTTTTTTAAATAATATCAGCGGTAGTGATTTACAATCAATGGGTAGTTTGTTGAAGAGTTTTATTCCCATGTATTTGGCACTCTCCTCCGTTCTAGACAACCTATGTGCCGGCAACGCCAATACTTCTCTGTTTCTGGTATTATAAATTCCAGAATTTATAGAACTAAAATTGTTCAGGTGAGATTTGACGTAAATCAATATATTCAATATATATACTGAAGGCAGCCTCAAAATCTTCAAATCTGTGAATAGTTCCCTGCAACTAAAGCGCCTTCCCACCTTTGCAATAGTTCTAATAGCTCTTTTTTGTAATATAAGAAGCCTTTGTAACTTGGAGGATGCTCCCCATGCTTCTATTCCATAAGTCAGAGTAGAATGGAAATGTGCATGGTAAAACATTAACGATATCCACTTATCAACGATAAAACTCAGCTGGTACATGCAATAGCAAAGAAAGGTAATCTTTTGACTAACTTTCTCTATATGCGTATCCCATTTGCAGTTTTGCGATATGTGTATTCCTAAAAATTTTATAGTTTCTGCTTGTTCCGTGGATCTACCGCTTGATTTTATAAGGAGACTACGATCCATGTGCATGTTAGAGTAGTTAAATCTCAGAAACACTGTCTTTTTGTGGTTTAAGACCAGGCCGTTATTAATGAACCATTGCTCTGCACTAGCTAAGCTTGTGTTGGCATTTCGTATCACTGACTCCAAGTTTTTGCCATTAATAAGTAATGAGGTATCATCAGCATACATTACCGAGGATTTCGCGGGAAAGTCATTGACATATATTATGTATAGGAGAGGACCAAGTATGGAACCCTGTGGAACCCCTGTATGATATAGGTGCTGGTCAGACTGTGCAGTCAGTACTTCAACATAATGTTTTCTGTTGCTTAGATAACTGTGAAACCAGTCAAATGGCTTACCTCTGATTCCATATCTATCCAATTTATCCAAAAGTATTACGTGGTCAACTAAGTCAATTTGGCAACAATAAATTTATGTAAAAAAAAAATTACATCATTGCACCATGCAAAGTTTTTTCATAACCTCAATATGATTTTTGTTTGTTGAAGATTTATTTAGCATTAATGCCACAATATCAAGTTTGTATAATTGTCCGTATACACATGTTTTTGAATCCATTTTTTGTAATTTTACATTCTTGTCTATTAAAATTACATCACTATGCATTTTGAGTATTTATAAATTGATTTTTTAATTTCACCTTAAACATTTTTAAATTCGAAGAAGTTTAATATAATTATTCAATTTATTGAATTCAAATACTGCCTTTTGAAATACAGATTTGCTAGTTATGCTACTATTACAGTTGTGCAGATAAAAACCTATACTGCCTCGTTTCCATAGTTATGATAGTGACTATTTAATTTTGTGAAGTTTTTTAAATGTAGTGGTAATAAATGGTTGTTCAATTTGAATATAAAAATAAGAACTAAATAGCATATGAAATTTTTTACATTCAACCACTGTAGTTCTTCTAACATAAAATAATTTGTGATTTTGAAAACATGTTTTCATTTGCTGTGATCTAAATAGTTAAACAATATAAAAAATGTGGTAGAATTATGGTGTTATACACATTTTTTGAATACATACTAAGATTATATTATTATTATATATTTTTGAAATAATGTATACATAATGCTCGCGAAACAGTAGTTTACTATACACATATATACCCAGATATTTAAATGATTGATTTTTTCGATGGAAGGAAGAATGTGAGTCTATTATATATATATATTAGGAAGTCTTATGAGAAATTCTTTAGAATAAATAAAATGTATTCTATTAATGCTGTTGTTTTCTTATTTTTAAGATGCCATAAATATGTAGTTTTATGTGAACTGTTTTATAGTTTTCTCCATAATTCCTTTTATCTTGCCAGCTCCTTGATCAATCTTTTCAGATACATGATACAGTGAGGATCACAAAGACATTTTGCTAATCCGATTTTTTAACTGCCTAAGGCCCGTATCGTCAGTCGTCCCTACAATTGTAGGGCGCGTTTATGGCCTCCTTGATTGTCATACTCTTTTCTCTCCTTCAAAAATTTCTAGATTACACTCGTCCCGTGTCAGCGTCAGCGCTTTCCTATTATGAAGATATGTTTTCTTTTTAAATTGTAGGAAATTTCAGGCTGATAAAACATGATATAACTCAAAAGCAAGCACAATTTGATGCAAACAGATGTTTGTGACATAACCTCAAAATAGAGTTCTGACGCGGAGAAGTAGAATACTATGACAATCAAGGAGGCCATAAAGGCGCCCTACAATTGTAGGGACGACTAACGATACGGGCCTAAGGTTAGTACAACTGGGAAAAGCTTCTTCTTGTAGATTGTTCCCCAATATCGACACCATCGGGAGCAGTCGTATCGGTACTGAGGTATTCCTTAACGCGTGTACAATCACTTGGACGGGGATAAGTTATATACTGCATTCAACAACTTCCGGTACAAGCACTTGCCGCGGCCCCGCTCAGTAGTGGAGTATTTCAGGGTTTTGCCTCTCTTCTAAATAATTTTAGATTACCAGTCAACAGAAAAGATCCACTTGCCAAATATATCAAATAAAATGCTAGTTAAATTCTTTTACAATACAATACAATTTCATAGTAATTGTTTTCACTATATCTAGATTAACCATTCTAAAAATCTTCATTTCTGGCAATTCTTCCGATAAATAATGTTTTTGGAAGCTGTATTAATAAATAACACATATCCCTATCATCAATATGTAGATTTTCCTGTATTTGATGATAAATTATGATTCTTATGTATTTTCCACGGAAAAAATGTCTAATGAAGTCATTTTTGTCCTTTGTCAGCACATGCCATCCTCTATTTCAAAAAACAAACTTTGATTTCTATCCAACACCTTTCACTCAAATCCATCAACAAAGGATATCAAAAACGCAGTACATCAATTAAATCAAATATGACCTAGATAATGACCTTACAGGCCATTTTTGGCTGCATATTCGTGTAGTTTACATAGATTGCATTTTCGTGCGTAAGGACAAATCGTACGAAGTCTACACAGTATATGTACTTATAACATTCCCCAACAATTTTATAGTAGGTTACAAGTTTGTAACATAACATTAATGGGATATTCGCATGCATAGAGGAGCATATGATGCACATTGTGGGAATGAAAAATGATTCAAAAAGTATTTATTATATTTTAAAAAAATAAATTAAAAGCAAATAGCATCCATACTACACTTAATTTAGAACAATTTCGATTGGTGCTGGGGAAGCGGAACTCCAATGAGCCGCCTGAAATTCGGACCTATTAGAAATCAGCCAACAGATCCGTTTCATACATAATTGACTACGTTTTTACAAAATAATTATACAAATTGTCAACCTGCATGAATATGCGACCGAAATTCGAAGATCAACGCAGTTTTTATCTCTAAAGCCGGCTCTCAACCCATAAAAGTGGAAGTAGCTTTGGTGTTACCCACCTATATGGTACTTTCTTTCCTTCATTTGACTGTAGACGTTCCTGAAGGCATCGAAGCAGTAGTTTAATTAATAATGCATGTTAGATTTAAAATTTAATGAGATTCTTTCAATGTAATGACTAAAAATTTTTTAATTTATGTTCAAGAGCTGTCTAATTACACATATTGGAATAAAACACCAGGTGTAAATACTTATAAACATGAGTATACACATATTTTTATAATCTAAAATGGAGCTCCAGATTTTTTTGACCTCTCCTTGGCTCTGATTTACCATCTCTCAATGATGCTAATGCTTTCATACTCCAACATGAAGGAATATGGTCGACGTCTAAAAACATAGAGTTATTGGTAAACAATTCACACACATTTAGGGTTGCCAGGTTCAAATTTGAAAATTGCAGAATGTCGGTTTCCAAGGGGAGGAGCATAATATGAAGAATTTTTCATTAGACTAAGTCACAATTTATATACAAAACGAGTTATTCTTTTGACAGCGCATACAACAGAAGATAAGAGATTTTTTTTATCAGGCTCAACAGGTTCTGACAACTGTTTATTTTCCATAGATTTTTTTGCACCCTTAGTTTTAATGTGAAGCTCTACTTCGAGATGGTCGATCAAGATGAAAATTTCAGCTGTCACATCAGATCTTGCAACATGAAGGAAAAATGGTTTTTTCATCTAGTAAGTAGCCGAACCGAATTAAAAACGTTAAGAGCAATTTGTAATTTCAATATTTTTTTTAGAAGGTGAAGCTATTAAAAGTCCTGCGCCTAAATTCCTGCCTCAAATTCAGAACTCCCAATACAATCCAGGTTACCTGGTAACCCTACGTACAATATAGTTGTAGAAGCTGTACAATGAATTGTTAATACGTACCTAATGCACATCTGGCTAGGAGTAGTTTTTTGGATTGCAGCTATTGTTTATGACCATCCCAAGAATACTCATTGCTAATTCTCCTGAATTCTGATGTCTAATATAAGAAAACCAATTTTAAACATTAATTTTAAAAAGTTTTTGTGCACACTTATTTACTATATTTCATACAAGATATTAGCAATTTAAATGTAGAACCAGTACATTGTAATTACTTTTCATTCTAGCCATTCTTCTTCAAAACTTTCAAATTTTTCCGTGGAAGACAGTGGCACTGAATTATTGATTTCCTATGTTGGTTTGAACTAGTGTTAACCGTATAGAGCATTCATTGCCATATTAGGATTTTAGAAATTATTCATCATGATATATCAATCTTGATGAATCTTTGTGTTTGATACTACAAAATCGTATTTACATCTTCTTGAAATGTTGATGTTCACAAAAACTTTTGTTTTTTGGAGAAAATCCTGATGAAGCTATTAAACAACGGCAAAAAGTTGATTTATTGAAAGTTTTTTTCTCTATGGCTTATTAATCTACGGTGGATTGTGATAGCAACCTCAATATTTCGTCCCCTAGCGAGCTTTGTTTTTCTTGCAGACTATATAATTGAATTATATCAACCTGGTACAAATTGGTACAAAGTTCCACAAAAAGAATGACTCATCTTTATGTCAGAGAAATTATCAGACTGCCTAAGTGACTATGTTTGCGATATGACTGCCCAGATTACTTAAAGTAGCTAATAAAATCCTCGCATTCTATTGGCCTCAAATTTAGTGCTATGATTACCTGATTTAGGTAGCATTAATTGGTACAGCATATGTGATTGACTATATATTTCTTTTGAATGTGCTAGGAGTGTACAGTGTTTCTAATGACTGTAATAGCACTACAACAGGTAAAACACCGCAAGCCTGGTACTAATGGGACTTGAGGTTTGATATCTAGTTTATACTTCATAACTTACAGACACAGACCATTTACATCTAACTTTAGACAATTCTTTCATTATCTTAAAAAATGTTTACCTGAAATGCAGAGAAAACTGTCCATTCTACATCAGATTCCAAAGTCCCTGTGGCACTGATATCATATTTTGGGTTCTTTCTAATCATTTTGTTCTGAGATATAATATTTCCATTTGCAGATTAGATATCTGGTAGTTTTGGCTTTCTCCATTTTCCTTTTGGCAATATTAAAATCTCCTGAAAAAAAAATAGTTCAGCTACAGCAAATATCCAAACTCCAACTTTCCAAATTGTTACAATCGTAAATACTACTGAAGATATGATTGCTTACCATTGCCACCCATTGAACATAGTTTATATATTTCCCAGTATTCATCAGGATCATCCTAATCCTCTATTAATTTATAAGTTTTCATTCCTCTACCAACATTCTACTACATTTTCCTTTATGAAGACAATAATTGCTCAAACCACCATTTTCATTGACCTTCATTTTCAACCCTACAACCAGAACATATACTATAATGCTCCAAGTAAAAAAGAAAATTACTCTTATTGATTCATCTCAAGAAAACCATTTTTGGACGCTCTTTGTCTTATAATCAAATAATGCTCGTTCAGCAGAAAATGAGAAGATAAATTCAAAGTGAAACAGATTCTTTCAACGATAGGCATGAAATTAATTTATAAAATATTTTGCGATTATGGTTTACACTCGATATGTTTTTCTAATTATTTGAAGTAACACCTCAATAACATAGTGCTGAAACATGATTTTTCATAATGTAAATATCTACCTACGTCAAAAGCTATATATTAAAAATACTCATATACTTTTAATTCCAAGAAAAATAAGATTAATGTAATCAACAAATATAGTGAAGAAAATATTTCGACAAGAATGAATTTACACAATCAACAGGTTCTGTTAGAAATGGGTTAATTTTACTGTAGATATAACCCATAAGCCCTATGCTTCCAAAATTACTTATTTTGATAATTTTGTGGTATACCAACATAAATGAGTCTGCAAGTATGGAACAAATAATGAACCAATAACTTTTGAAATTGCGTAGCTTTATACTGCGAGGAATAACATCCTGGTACAATAGGTTAAGATTGTGTTAAAATACAGTAAATCCTCTTCTACAACTTGTGTAGGTGAATAACCCTGCATGACGATTGATTCCAAAGATATTTGATTCATTAGTAGCATCACTTATGTTGAAGAACATTACATTTACGATTCAAAATAAATCCATCATGGTGTAATTCAGAAATCTCGTGTACTAAATCATACGAAGCCCCTTTGGCTTTCACTGCACGAACTCAAACACAAATGACAAAAAACAGAAGCATTATTACAAATTATATTATTAATTATTTACTCTTATAAAAATGTTTATTACTCGAAGAAGAGATCACGGAACCATGGAACCATTGTAAGACAGGCATCAACATCCTGATATTAGTGACAGATGACACGTTATGACAGCTGCCAGTCAGTTGAGTAAAAAATGTTAAATTGATTTCCTTTTAACATTTTCCTGTAAGAGGACAATGCCCTTAAATCATGACAAAATTATTACATGTATTTTAAAAAAAAGTATATTCACTTACCTTCAGAGCCACATCAAAGGAAAAATAGACAGATCAAACATTTTCGCAGTGCCTCACATCCAGGCGCTGATTTGTATTTTCTATTGGCATCGCAAAATAAGTTTTTATAAAACATAAATGACTGGAAATAAACAAATAATGAAATAACCTTTTCACTTTCATAAATATTCCTGTCTGAAGCGTATCTTCTCACCTGTTACTTCACCAACCCGCGATTTTCTTTTCTTATCTCTCACAATTTTTGAAATTCAGCAAACTTGCATATATAATTTCCAGGTTGAATAATAAAAAGTGGTTGCATAACTAATTTCAACTTTTGAATACATCTCAAGTAAGTCTATATGAGACAAGAAACCAATGGAATTACAATTAACACATATTATTAGCACGCACTTCCTCACTATGTACCTATGCACTGCCTTTTCCTTCCAGATGTAGTCTATAGTGCACAAGTTACAGCTTAGATCTTCAATATAATGCCAGCTCTTAAGCACTTGATACTCACACATGATGACGTTTAGGCAACACGTACAACTGCTAACGAGTTCACGACTAGTGTCAATCAGCTAGTGCTAGTCTTGGCGAAAAACCATCATAATGTCAAAAAAAAACAGCATAGTGTCAAAAAAAATCGACATAATGTCACTTTTCAAGTTACGTGATACCCCTGCCGGTCATGTTCATACGTACAGTCGTGTTCCATAGTTAGATCTACCTAATTTCTATGTGCTTAATGGAAAATAGTACTTCAGCTGTTTCGTAACCTGTCATGCGCATATTATTGACCTGTTCGATGGCTATTCCAAGCCATGCGGAATTTGCTATCACAAGCAAAATGTAACGCTAGGCTCACATAGATAAAACCTAATCTCCATCTGTTATTAACGAAAAATGGTACTTTAGTGGTTTCCTAAACTATCACAAACCAGATGAAATTTGTTATCACAGGCAAAATGTAACGCTAACCTTGCATAAGGTGCCTATTCTTATCTGGAGATAAGAAAAAGATGTACATTGGCGGCTTTCTAACCTGACATGTTCATAATTACACACCTGTTCCATGGTTATCACAAACCACGTGGAATTTGCTAAAGCAAAATGTACGCTAGTCTCGCATAGATGTACCTGATCTCTGTCGTTTATTAATGAGAAATGGTACTTCGGCCTCTTCCTAACTTCTCATGTGCATTCTTACAATATTGTTCCATAGTTATCACAAACCAGATGGAATTTGCTATCCCAAGCAAAATATACCGCTAGTCTTACATAGATGTACGCAATTTGTATCTGTTATAAATGAAAAATGCTATATTGCTACATTGCTATCACAAAGCAGATGGAATCTGCTATCCCAAGCAAAATGTACCGCTATTCTCACGCGGATGTACCCAATTTTTATCATTTATAAATGAAAAATGCTATATTGCTACATTGCTATCACAAACCAGATGGAATCTGCTATCCCAAGCAAAATGTACCGCTAGTCTCACATAGATGTACCCAATTTTTATTTGTTATGAATGAAAAATGCTATATTGCTACATTGCTATCACAAACCAGATGGAATTTGCTATCTCAAACGAAATGTAACGCTAGTCTCGCTTAGATGAACCTGATCTCTATTTGCTATTAATGAAAGACGGTTTGCTGTCTGGTGAAATCTTATTATGCTGTTGTAAACTAGTTGGAATTTGCCATCACAAGCAAAATCTAACTCTAACCTCGCATAAGATACCTAATCTCTATCTGGTAATAAGAAAAAAACATATCTTAACGACTTCCTAGCCTGCCATGTTCAAACATACAGTCCTGTTCCATGGTTATTACAAACCAGATGAAATTTGCTATCACAAGC